ATTTCTGCAAACAGCTACTGGAATTAAACATTTAATAATTCCTCTAATATGAATCTATTTTCTGCATCCATTTTTATCTAAGAGGAAGTACAAAACAGATAAATATTACTTATAGTTCCTAAAGGAGCTTGAAAGTAAACAGAATATCATGTAGCAAACCTAAGAAAGCATACTATAGTAAACAACACAGGTCAATCTTACTTCCTCAGCCTTTTGACAAATATAATGTGTCAAGTATTGGGGTGAATATACTGCTTTATGAAGCTCTAAATGGCAATTTCTCCAAAACAATAAAACACCAAAATAAATTTCATTAAAATAACTGATGTTTATGGAAAATTTCTTATGAAAAGATTTTACAATGAAGTAAAATTGTAAACTTCTGAATGAAAACCATATGCATTCATTAAGGCACATCTGGACACCTCCGGGCATTTGTACTTATCACTGTATTATTATTCATTTCAGTAATAGGAGACTTCTAAAAAGACTGTGTTCCTGAACTGCAATCTGCTGGGTGGGTTGGATAACTAGAACAAAGGAAGAGGCAGGACAGCACTCGATGTCACTCTAAGCTAACCCACACAAATCTGTTCCTGTAGTAAGCAGTACAGAGTCCAACACTGAAAGAATGAGGAACTCTGCTAATAGCCACTGTTACTAATTTCCTGGTGCAATGCTGACTCAGGCCACATTTCTCCACATAATTTGGATGATTTCTGCACATAATTTGGATGATTCCAGCAGGTCTAAATCCAGCCTGCTTTATATTTAACAACTGTATCCCCCTTGGCCCCCCAAAAGAAATTTTACTCAGTGAAAAATAAAACAGAGTTCCAGGTTCTAGTGGTACATACCTGTAATCCTAACTAATCAAGAGACTGAGATCTGAAGATTGAGGTTCAAAGCCAGCCTGGGCAAGAAAGTCCATAAGACTCTTAGCTCTCATTAACCATAAGAAAACTGGAAGTACAGCTGTGGCTCAAAGTTGTAGACCACTATAGTCTTGAGCAAAAGAGCTCAGGAATAATGCCCAGGCCCTGAGTTCAAGCCTCAGTATTCACATTCACACACACACACACACACACACACACACACACACACATTTGATTTCGTTACTTGGTGTTATAAACTCAATCAAAAAATATTATAAATTTATGATATTTAACATTTAATCAAATAATCTTTGTCAGTTTAACTGAGTGATACGGAGGCTTACTTACCAAATTTGTTTTTTAAATACTAACTCAGATGTAGCACTGTACTTTTCTGTTTCCTACTTTTACTCAGATTAAAGTATAAAAACTAGAAGCAGAGTAGGTAATTTTGTGTGGCAAACTAAGACATATAATGATAATAATAGGTTTTATGGTAGTTTACATGTTTGTATCTTTAATACTTGGCAAAAACTGCTTAGCACTTCCTTAAGTAACTCCTGAGTTGTAGAATTTTTTTCCTCTCCTTAGAGATGGGAAAACATGTATTCCCAAAACCTAAAACAAAGTAAAACTATAAAATCATTTTGAACTAATATCTTGCCTTGATTTGGACAAAGCAGGTGTGTTCACTTCTACTACTATGCTTTTGAATGTCTAATGAGATTAAACATGAAAATGTATATTGGCACAATAATCAAAGTTAGAAACATTTCTACTGTACAGAAATACATATTTACAGTATACTTTACAGTATGTCAAAGTACTTTCACATAGTCTCTCCTTTGATATATGTAAGCACAAAATATCAGAAATGCATTAGACTCATCAAGCAAGATAACACCTATATGTCATGAAATACAAGTTGGTATTTTATCAATAATTAATATAGTATTATTGCAGCCCATGATACAATAAAGGCAATCTATTTGCAAGTATTTCATAATGTTTCTAGTTATTTGGCCATGCTTCATTGCATTTTCTGTAACAGCTTCTCAGTAAATTTCTGCAAGCATATCGTAATTTTAGAAATATAAGAGACTGGAATCAAACCCAGAGAGAGGGTAGTTCCTATCTAAGACACTCATATGTATTTACATAGCTATAGCTCTTTTTTTTTAAAAACTATTAAATGTACAAAGTATTCTTAATTTAAAAAGTTCTAGACACTCCATTTTTTTAATCTGCAAAAGGAGTATCATCCTCTAACTGGATCTCCACTACAGCATCCTCTCAGTAGTTAATTACAGATTAAAAGTAGGAAACATCCTGTCACATACAAATATGCATTAAAAAAATAAACACCACAGTGGGAAAAGGCCATTATTTTAGATGGAAGCCAGGGAGTTCTCCCCTGGAGATTAAGTATTCTCAAACACATAACCTAACAAAATCCCTAATAAGGAATGACATTCTAAAATCTAACTTAAGTGAAATGTTTTCATTTCTAAAAGGGTTCTGATATACTACAAGTTCTATAGAATTCAGATTATATTCATTTACTTTAGTATCTGGTAACTGAGAAACAGTTTCAGTATCTGGTCACATATTTTTAAAATTAAATATCCAGAAAGTAGTCTGAAACATTATCATAGATACAAACTTGTCATGAAAGTTTGAATTGCATCAATCATATTCCTATAATTCAGCCTGATTTGAGAATCTACTGTCCCTCGACCATGTGAACACGTTTACTGAAATCTAAAAGGATATGCTACCACACACGCCAGTAACAGGTGCATGGTTCTTGCATGTAAAACAGACACTAAAATGTAAACCTAAGTTGTTACCTCAAAATCCTAATACTGCTAGGTACTGATGGCTCATGCCTGTAATCCAAAGCCAAGAACTAAGGATCATGGTTCAAAGCCAGCCCAAGCAGAATGCTCATGAGATTCTTATCTTTAATTAACCACCAAAAAGCCAGGATTGAAGCTGTAACTCAAATGGTAGAGCACCAGCTCTTAGCAAAAAAGCTAAAGGACAACCTGTAGGCTTTGAGTTCAAGCCCCAATACTGACACATGTGTGTGTGTGTGCCTGCGTGTGCACACACACACGCGCGCACACACACACACAGATTCTAACAAACAAAATTCTAGTATTTCACAAAACAGTCAAAAACACAAAATAATAATAAACTATTGGAACTAAAAATAATATTCTCTATCTACTTATGAGAGTAGGATACATAACTTGAATGCTACTAAGGTTCATATAAAAAAAATCAGTCTTCAGCAATTGAATATTTTGGTGTAAATTCTGAAGCAACTAAAAGAATTACTACCTGTATTACTATATGATATAATATAGGATATATTAAAAATTCTCTGGAGGGTAAAAGTGATTTCTTAAACAACTTTTTTTCCAAAAAGGTCAAGGCAAGTAGTTCATGTTTGCAATCTTAGCTACTCAGAAGGCCAAGATCTGAGGATCTCAGATTCACAGCCAGTTGGAACAGAAAATCTATGTCCAGTTAACTAGAAAAACAAACAAACAAAACCAAACAGAAATGGAAGTGTAGCTCCACGGCAGACAGAGTGCCAGCCTGGAGTGAAAAAGCCAAACAAGATTATAAGGCTCCAAGTTTATGCCCAGGAAAAAGTCAATTCTTTTCTAAAATGAAAATGTTTATTGTTTTATACTTGTATGAATGCTTTGGAAATTCTCATCACAGTGTTTCAGATTGGCTTCTGAGTTGTAATAGTAACTGGTAAAACTACTATAAGAAACAGAATTGTTTTTAATCAATGTTATATTATGGAACATCTTAAGTACTTACTAGATCTAAATATATGTAAACTGTTCTCAATTTCAACATGTGACTACTTAAAAGATGTGTAAACTATAGAAATGATTTAAAGAGACATTATGTACCAAGCAATATTAGTAACTTCATGATCCATATAATGCCAAGTTATTAATGGTTTAAGGGACTGCTGCTTAGTGGCAGTGCAAAGAACAAGCCTCTGAAAATAAGTAATTTCTTTTCTCTTATTTTAATTCCTCAGACATTTTCATTCACAACCAACCACCCAACTTACATGTAATTGCCATAAGAAGCCAAGTCCTCTTTTTCCTTTCTTTCTTCCTATCCTTCCTGTTCTTTCATTCTTTATTTTTGGACTTTTGCACCAAAATTGTTTTTAAGCACTTAAAATAGTTCTATTATTTTAAACACAGAAAATGCCTAAGATTGCACAATTAAAAAAAAAATCTCTCGTGCTAAGTAAGTGCAAAGCCCTGAGTTCAAACCACAATACCATCATTTTTTTAAAAAATGAGTCCAGATGCCACTGGCTCTTACTTATAATCCTAGCTACTTGGGAGGCTGAGATCAAGAGGATGACAGTTCAAGGTCAGATTGGGCAGAAAAGTCTGTGTGATTCCATTTTAACAGAAGAAATCTGTACACAATGGTAAGTGCCTATGTTCCTAGCAACTACAGGAAGCCTAAAAGTAGGTAGATCACAGCTCAGGTAGGAAAGGAAATCCTGTTCTAAAAATAACCAATGATACACAAGATTAGAAGCATGACTTAGTGGTAGTGTGCCAGCCTCACAAGTGTAAGGCCCTGAGTTCAAATCCCAAGCAACATCACCACAGAAAAAAAGTCATTTCTTCCACATAGTTATCAATATAGGAGATCCTACTAGTCCGTACTAGAAATGCAGACAGAAGCCAACAAAGATGGTGGCTGAAGGGGCTCAGGAAACGGGGAGAGGAAACAATAGGGCTGACCAACACCAGAGAGGCCAGACCTTCCCAAGGACATCCATTTCACTTATCAGAATCTACAAGTAAGCCCACTGAGGTGTTGGCATCACAGGATGCAAATTACTTTCTGAATACATTTGAGGTGACTAGACTGTCTCTTTTAGCTTCTGAACTAACCTCAATATCAGACAAAAGTATGACTATATAATGAAATGATACTCTTGATTTTCTTCACAGAGTAGACTGACATTTTTCAAAAGCATATTGGCTATATGACAGTACATGAGTATTTCTAAATACTGGAAAATAGTTTAAAATAGTTTAAAACTTGAAAACTTAAATCCTTAAAACCATTAGAGAATACATTCATTTTATTGGATCTGGTCTTAAAACTTCTTAAGTATCTTAATCTGTCATCCAAGATTTAAATAAAGACACAAAATACAACAAAAATCACAAACAGAAGGTGAATATTTGAAACATGACCTCCTCTCTGTTCTTTAGAATAAATTTTAGATAGTGCTTTCTCTATCCCCTTAACTTAAATGGGCCTGTCTGTGGTTTTCTAATGATTCACTGTACTAGTACCTCATCCTGGCTACTGGAATCTGTAGGATTGTCACAGTCTAGAATATGACTTTCGCCTTCTTCATCTTTTCCTGAAGGAGATCCATTTTCCTTTAATTCTGCAGAATTGGTGGCTATTTTCTCAGGCTGAGAATGTGAATTTTCAGCATTACTGTCCTTGTCTGTGTGTCCTGACTTGGCAGCTTCGTTGCTGGGTTCTGGGCTGGGCCTGTCTGTTTCTAGCCCTGGCTCTTTTTTTTCTTCCACTGTCTTGCTATTTAAATGAACAGCTGTGGAGGAATTTTTGGAGTCCTTGGATTTCTTGTGCATAGAACTTTGACTGTTTTGACTAGAGGCTAGAGGAGGAGGCATTTTCTGGGCTTTGCTTCCCTCTGATTGTTCTTTTCTAGGTGGTCCCCAGATAAAATTCTCTGAAGGCATATAATGTTTCTGGGCAAACCGCAGGAGCTTTCTTCTTTCTCTTCTGTCTCTAATTGTATAAACAAAATACTCCAGAGCACTTTGTTTAATATTGGGAATTGTATTTTCCACAAGAGCCTCATGAAGAATAAATTTTACTAGAGGAGATTTAAAACTTTCATATCCAAGCTCACCAAGGCTTTTAAGAATACGGGTGATTCTTAAATAGTTATGTTGGGACCTGGAAAAGAGAAGATTAAATAAAATGAGTGGAAGGAACTTAGGTAGAGGAAAAGCACACTACTAAAAAAAGACTTTTATAACTGGTGTCTTTTAAAAAAAGTCACATCAGATACTATTAAGAATAAATCAGATACTAAACTCTTATATATTAATGTAATGCTAATCTACATGGAAGTTAAATATTAATAATAAATTTGCATTTCTTCACTCCTTATATTAGAAAAAAGTATTTCCCCATGGATGTTGAGTTATAGTTAGTTTTCTAAACATATTGAGGATAGGTGGTCTGCATTGTACCTTCTCCAATAATCATAACGGTAACAAAAGAACAATAGGACTTCTAGGAAGAGCCAATAAGACTACATTAACATAACTTTTATTATACTATATTGTTATACTTGTTTAATTTTATGAGTAGATTTTGTTGGGAATCTTTTTCCATGAGTAATTTGTAAATTAAATTCTATTATGGACATATAGGTAAATGAACAAACTATGTGTAGGATTCGCAACATCCAAAGTGTCAGCATACATCTGGGGATCTTGTGCACAGATCCCCACTTGTGCACAGGTGGACCTTGTGTATGTGCAACCCTATCTGTATACAGTGCTCATCTCAGTAACAGCTGATGTAAATTGTAGCAAAAGGCACTGCAAAAGCTGATTTAAGCTGGGCATGCTGTAGTCCTAGATACACAGAAAACTGAGATCTTTAGGATCATAGTTTGAAGCTATCCCAGGTAGACTCTAGCTCCAAAATAACCAGGAAAAAGCCAGATAGTGGTATGGCTCAAGTGGTAGAATGCCTGCTTACCAAGCAGGAGGCTCTGAGTAAAAACCCTAGTAGCATAGAAGAAAAATAAAAGCTAATTTACAGAGCAAACCACTCTACTTGGCTAGAACAACTCTGACAAATAATGTACAACTGACTTAATAGCATACCTTAATAGTCGAGCATGACCCTGGAAATCAGTCCCATCCTAGAAAGCTAGCTCTATCATTGAGAAGCTATGTGAAATTATAATATCTACCCAAGTTCCAGTATCATCCATAAAATGAAAACAGTGGACAACAATTTACTGGACTGTTGAAATTCAAATGAATGATACATATGCATGAAAAATGAGATAGATGATATTTAAAATTATTATATTATAATCATCTAGGGATTTAGCATTGAGAACTACATATTTATAATGGTTCCAACTTAATAACCTAATTTTCTCCCACCTTGGCCATTTTTCTCTTTTGTTATTCTGTCAGGATAATATCAATCTTATTTCTTATGGCCTTGGTTCCAGAGATGCCTTTTCTCTTTATTTCCTCTTTATTTCAAAACTAAGACAATTATTGGAGTAATGCTTTCCAAATCAATTCTGCACAATTCACTAAATTCACTTCATCTTATTACACATGCCCAGCCAAATCCTAAAGGAATCCTCAGTTATACATATCAATCATGTGTTTGTCAATAGCCTAGGGATTTATTTTCCAATACTATCACACACACATAAGCACACACTCTGGTACTAGTGGTTGAACTCAGGCAGGATGCTATTCCTTAGCATTTTCACTAAAAGCTAGCAGTCTACCACTTGAGTCACAGCTCCACTTTCACCTTTTTGCTGGTTAATCGGAGATGAGTCTTACTGACTTTCCCAACTCTGCTGGCTTTGAACGGCTATCTTCAAGTCTCAGCCTCCTAAGTAGCTAGCTAGTAGCACCTGGCTAATCAGCCCCCACATTTTCACTTCCTAAAACCTGTGCTTTTATCTCATCTACTGAATTCTCTACAAGTATTGCACATACTGCCCTAGCTTCTAAAAGTGCTCACAGGTTTTACTTATAAGTAAGTATCAAATGACTTGGGAAGGATGGTAAAGGTGATGGTAAGTTCTTTGAGCTTTGGAAGGATAGTTCCATAGTTTTGTACCTTAGTGGTTTGTTATCACAAAACAAAAGTCTTATGGATTTGGACTAACCAAATACTGAGAAAGACAAGTCCAACATACTTTTTATTTTAATCATCTCCATCCTTCTGGAGTTTACCAAAAAATATCATCTTAAAGTTCACTCTGAAACCTCAAAGGTAAAATGTAACATTGGTGTGCTTTAGTTTTATAAATCTATAGTTTACTAGATTTTTTTTTTTTTGTGGGTGATGGGGCTTGAACTCGGTCTGGGCACTGTCCCTGTGCTCTTCAACTCAAGGTGAGCCCTCTACTGCTTGAGCTACAGTGCCACTTTCAGTTTTCTAGTGCTTTATTGGAGATAAGAGTCTCACAGACTTTCCTGCCCAGGCTGGCTTTGAACCGTGATCCTCAGATCTCAGCCTCCTGAGTAGTAGGATTATAGGCATGAGCCACCAGCGCCCGGCTGTTTACTAGATTTTTAAGACAATATAATTTGGGAAAAGTTATAATCATGTACCACTAATAGCAAAATTGACTTAGCTCTTAAGTTTATGGAAGTTTGTGTATTCAAAACAGTGGAAAAATTCTTAAGCAACCTCTACAAATATGAGAAAGAGGTATGGAAAGGTAGAAGAATGTTTGAGGAAAAGGAAAAAAATACAAATACTATATTTGCAGCCAGTTCAATTTCATATCATCAGTCTAAATTGAATGCATGGGTTAAAGAGAGGAGCTGGGATTCTAGACAGTGATGAAGGAAATAAATAGTGTTGATATTGTCAGAAGATGAGGACAGAATACACTAAAAACAAGAACCAGAAGACAGAAGTTACAAAATAAAAGCTACAAGGGATTCCCAGGTCTCTGAAATGGACCAGTCTTGAGCTATATTTGATAAGTTACCCGAGCTAATTACAAGTCAAATTGGATCTCCATCCTACTGGTTGGTCTCTACATTTTTACTTTTATGCCTGAAAATATTTCACTTCTTTTGGCATGGTCTCTTATTCCCCTAATGTTATTTCACTTCACTTAAGCTGGCAAAAATACGTTGAGTTCCCTGCTTACATTAAAAAGCTCAAGATACAGATTAAAGCATGTCTACGCTGTGACATTTAAGAATAAATCAGAAAAGAATCCAGCTGAAGAAGAAAATAGAGTAGACAAGTTCACATCATCCCACATAATTTTTTAACATCTAGTTAATAAAAAAAATTGGCAATTAAAGCAGAGGAGAAAAGATGTTTACTGGCAGACTCGAACATAGGCTGGAAAGGCAATGGAAGACACTGGCTGGTGGGGAGGGATAGGCAGAGGAGGAGGGGGCTGTTGGTTGCTCCCCTCTAGCCAGGAACTTATTTAATTAAAACCTACAGAAAAGGCTGCTTCTAGTTAATTATCACAGGTTCTGACAATTAAACCCCAAAGAGGATTTAAGCTGAAAACCATATTTCGTTCATGATTTATTCATTCAACAAAAATGTCTACTTATTTCAACCAAAAGGAACAAATTGAGGTGGAAGTCTAAACTGATAGAGGTGCTGTGAAGGCTTTTCCTAAGGTTTACTTTAACTATCCTTCATATGAACAGAGTTCTTCCAGAGAGAGAGAGAGAGAGATCATATGAACAGAGTTCTTCCAGAGAGAGAGAGAGAGAGAGAGAGAGAAAGGGGGGGAGAGGGAGAGGGAGAGGGACAGGAAGAGAGGGAGAGAGGGAGAGTGTGTGTGTGTGTTGGGGCTAAACTCAGAGCCTGGGTGCTGTGAAGGCTTTTCCTAAGGTTTATTTTAACCATCCTTCATATGAACAGAGTTCTTCCTTACACATACAGAGAGAGAGAGAGTGTGTGTGTGTGTGTGTGTGTGTGTGTGTGTGTGTGTGTGTGTGTGTGTGTGTGTGTGTGTGTGTGTGTGTGTGTGTGTGTGTGTGTGTGTGTTGGTGGTTAATTGGAGGTAAGAGTCTCATAGACATTTCTGTCTGGGAGGGCTTTCAAGCACTATCCTTAGATCTCAGCTTCCTAAATAGCTAAGATGATAGTCATCAGTCTAGTGCCTGGACATTCTTGACCAGAACTTTGGAAGTGTGATACAATGCTTAGAAAGTTTGTTTAGCAATGTAATTGGCATTTCTTAGTTAGAAGTACATATATTTTATGTGAATTATAAATGAATGAATCTTCTAGTTAGGATTGAAAAGATTTAATGCACATTAATTTTTTTATAGAACAAGTTACCATTTTAGTAGCATTGTTTATCACAGAGTAAAAAGAAAGCTAGACATTCATATTTATATGCATTTTACCAAAATAAGGCAAAAAGTCTGGAAAAATATCAGGGACTCAAACAGCTGATGCCAACATGGATGATTCTGGCCAAACAGAAAATGCTTATGTTAGCTTTAAATTCTTTTCTCTTAGTACTTGCCCAGCTCAGCTAATTATAATGTGCTGTAAAAAGTGCTTCAAAACTGTTGGTTTTGGAGTCTAGTACTCATAATCACCCTATAATTAAAAAGGAATCGAAAAAGCCAGTTCACGTATAAAGAAAATATTTTAAAAACTAAACTTTGGTTACAAGTACTAACGAAAGTTATAAATATCCAAGTAAAATATAGCTTTAAGAATCTAAATAATGGATCTGATCATATAAAACAATATTTATAGAAAGGAATTCCAGGAAATGGAAACAAGGTTTTTTTTCCTGTTTGTTGACTTATTTGTTCATTTATATATCTGGGGAGGGTGTGAAGGGGGTACAGAAATGGAGGGACAAAGGATGAACAAATGCAGCAGTGGTACACACTAGACACTATGTTGAAAATGAACTGTACAACTTGTGGGTGGGGATGGAAGGAAAAACTGGGAGAGCAAAGGAAGGGGTAACATTGCCTAAAAAAAATGAACTCATTACCTGACTTATGAAACAGTAACCCCTTGTATACCACTTTTATAATAACAATAAAAATGATGTACAAAATCCAAATAAACTGTATTTTTTTCTTTATAGGTCTTAGGATTTATTAGCCCAAAATGTGTTTTTTTTTTTTTTATCTCAATGAAGAGAATGACAATTTCCCTTGTTTTAGTATGGGCATGTCTTACTTTTACGGAATGATTTTTTACCCCAAGCAGCCTTGTTGACGGGATAGGAAAAACTGTAAATAGGCAGTCACCATAAATTCTGAGAAATATGGCTCTGAGACAGAGGCCATACATAACTGTGGCAAACAATTTGAGGAAGAAACAGCTTTGAAGTTGAATATCAGATTTTTCTACCTATATTTCCTTTTTTTTTAGCTATTGTTTTGTTTGGTTTTTGGATGTAGAACAGATGATAAAATGCCCTTGAGACTGGCTTGTAAACCCAAATCCCTGGGTCCAAAAGCCAGCTGTACCTATTTCCTGTAGAGAACTCTGACCAATGGAAGATGACTGATTCATGCCCAGAGCTTCACTTACTCATTCAAATGTTGAAATCTTTCCTGCCAATTAACAGCCCGAGCAACATTTCCAGTTTTATCAATCAATTTTATGCCAAAAAATTCTAACATCATTTTGTAAGCCAGAAGGAATCTTCGAATTGCTTCTTTTGTTTTTTTGAATTCCTGAGTATGAAAATAAACAGAAACAGAAAAAGCCCACTGAGATTATTAGTAGTTACCAGGACAATAAGATGATAATATTATTTGACCATTTTATTCAAGATGCATTGTATTCATAAACTGACATATCATATTGAAAGCTCCTAAGGATTTAAAAAATGATAAAATGAATAAATGAAATGAGCTTACACTACCTCAATTTCATATGTAGTTAATTCTTTAGCATAAAAGTTCAAGCCTTGTTCTCTCAGGGGGAAAAGCCTGTTTATTAAAAAAATAAAAATTCTCTATTAACATTGTCTAGAAAACACACACAATAAACAGGGCACAGTTCCAGAAAGAGAACGTACAACTGACCATTGAATGTAAGTGTGGTTGCGCTCCAGTTTATCATAATCTCCTTTCCACTTACTTAGAACTTCTTCAATGTAAACACCTAAAGAGAGAATATTCAGAAAGTGAAACAACGTCATAGAAACATTTTCACATTTGAAACCCAAATTTTACCTCAAAACTTAAAAAAGAATTGAAATTGTGCATATGAATAATGTTCTTAAAAGATGAATACACCATGGCATATACTCATGGTCCGTCATGGGGCTTGAACCCTGGGCCTGGGCACTGTCCCTGAGCTCTTCAGCTCAAGATGAGCGCTCTACTACTTGAGCCACAGTGCTACTTCTGCATATACTTGTTATGTAATAAACCTAATTAAAAAATAAGTTGGGCGCCAGTGGCTCACACCTGTAATCCTAGATATTCAGGAGGCTGAGATCTAAGGATTGTGGTTCAAAGCCAGCCCGGGCAAGGAAAGTCCATGAGACTCTTCTCTCCAATTAACCACCAGAAACCCAAAAGTGGTGCTGTGGCTCAAGTGATAGAGCACTTGCCTTGGGACAGCACCCAGGCCCAGAGTTCAGGCCCTACCACCGACAGAAAAAAATAATAAGTGCCACATCAAATCACAGAATATTCCATTGGTCAATGTACTTCAAAACACAAGTGGGCAAACCATGGCTTGCCAGCTATTTTGTAAAGTTTTATTGGAACTCAGCCATTCACATGCACATATGTATTGTCAGTGGCTGCTTTTTACTACAAGAGCAGAGTTGGATAGTTGCAATAATAATTGTTATGCAAAAATATTAACTATTTACTCTCTGCCCATGTATAGAACTTGGCACATGAATGCTTGCACTTGAATGTGTATGTCTACTAGTATGGTACTAAGGCTTGAACTTAGGGCCTCATGCTCTTTCTCACGGCTGGCACTCTACCACTTGAACAGCACTTCTATCCTCTCTGCTCATACAAAGAGAAACTATTCCAAGCAGTATGTGGGTGTTGTAGATACCAGAGAGAAAAGGTGTGAGCTGGTATCATTCATATAACACCTTAGAGTAACATTTTATGTGACATTATCTAAAATATTTGACTCTTACCAAGCTCATATGATTTTAAAATAGATCCTTTAATAAAGAATATAAAAATATAATGTATTGCTTGACCTTAGTATTGTAATTACTTCAAAAATAAATTCATTGTCAAGAGCCAGTAGCTCATTCCTGTAATCCTATCTATTAGAGAGGTTGAGATCTGAGGATCACAGTTCAAAACCAGCCTAGCAGGAGGTTGGTAATTAACCACCAAAAAGCTGAAAGTAACTCTATGGCTCAAGTAGTAGAGAACTAGATTTGAATGAAAAAGCTGAGTGACAGTGCCCAAGTCCTGAGTTCAAGCCTCAGGACTGATACAATTAATTAATTAATTAATTCACTACTAGAAACACAAAAAATATATTAAATATCATCATAAATTCATGTTTAACATTTTTAATACATGCAGGCATTCCTTTAGCTAGATTTTATGAAATTTAAATCAGTTAGATGAATGCTCTATTGCTACATTTCTTCAAAAGATTTTTTTTACCTCCAAGTTAAAAAAAAAATCCAGCAATTTAATTAACATATTTCCACTGGTTAACAAAATGTGTACTTCTACCTAGTCACAGTGGTACACACTTATGATCTTAGCTATTCAGGAGACTGAGATCTTAGAATCATGATTTGAAGCCAGCCAGGGTAGAAAAGTTCCTAAGAAGCTTATGTCTAATTACCCATCAAAAGAAAGCTGGAAGTGGAGCTGTGGGTCAATAGCCTTGAGTCAAAAAGCTCAGAGACAGCTCCTAGGCCCTTGGATCAAGCCTCAGTATCATACTCTCTTATTTCTCCATTTCTTTCTCTCTCTCTCTCTCTCTCTCTCACACACACACACACATACATACACGAGTAAATATAACAGTTCACTTTTGTGCTTCCCTCTAAATCGGGGCAGAATTTTGTGATAGTTCAACATTATAGATTTGACATTTCAGCAAGATTATTAAGTCCAACTGGTACATTTCTAGGGCTACATAGTATGTTGGGATTTCCTCTTCCCATTGCTCCTTCCAGTTCTTACTACTGCTCCTTCCAGTTTATTAGCCAAAGAATGCTAGCTCTTACAATCTATGGCCCTCATTCCCTGACTCACATGGATGTAAATTTGCCTCTATGTTTATTGAGAGGAAGAGGAAAAATAAAAAACACCTGGTCAAATGACACAGAAAACTGCAGCATCAGCTTTGCTGGTTTGACCTGGAAAGAATTAGGATGCCCACCATGAACCCCAGACAGTGTTCTGCACCAATATGTGATTTTTGAGGTAAGATTCCCACAATACCTGCCCCCTCTCACTGCACATTAGAAAAGATCCTATGAGGGAAATTACAGAGTTTTGAGAGACATATTTGGATGGCAAAACAAATCTACTGTGTCCTCTTCCCACAGTCCTTAAACACTCAGGGGGAACGAGTACAGCTTGCTAAACCCTACTTTTTTATTTGTTGTTTGTTTTTGTGCCAGTACTGGGTCTTGAACTCAGGGCCTCTTACTCTTGTGTGGCATTTTTGCTTGAGGCTGGCACTATAAAACTTGACCTATACCTCCACTTCTGCTTTTTGCTGGTTAATTGAAGACAGGAATTTCTGTCTGTGCTGCCTTTGAACCAAGATCCTCAGATCTCAGCATTCTGAACAGCTAGTATTACAGACTTAAGCCCTAATTCTTGAAAGTAACAGGAAAAACAATTCCAAATTCACATAACACTTTCATTCACATTCTAAATAATTTCTAGGCATCACATACTAGAAAACACAGTGGACCTTGGGACCTGGATCCAAGGCTACATTTCAATGAGTGCTCTGCAAGCCAGTCATTCAGGATTTAAATCCCAATGAGCTCATCTTTAAATGAGATACTAGAGTACTATCTTCTCTAAAGTCCTTTATAATCTAAAATTTTATACTTGTATAAATTCCCTTTCTTCTCTGTGCTCTCTCTCTTATACACACACAAATTGTCCCTCCTACCCTCAGGTTGTGGTATATGAGTAGTAGGAAAATATCACTAATCAACCATTTCTCTAGAATTTATCACATGAATATCCCCAATTCCAGAGCCTATCACTCTGGGGACACACTGGACCAAATGGTAGTCTAATGAACAAATGCAGTATGAATGTACATGGAAGAGACAAAAAAGTACTCGTGTATGTCATTATATAAAGTTTGCTTTTTATCAACATAGATTACTCACCATCTGGTTTAAATGGAATTTTATTCTTATAAAAACGAAGATTGCTCAAGTCATTTTGATAGCGGATATCTTTGAAGTTCTGCTAAAGAAAAAAATAAATAAATCTCTAATATACACAAATATTTACTTGAAAAAAAGTCAGGTTTTTCCCTGGGCACCATAAAATTAGTAAGACAGAAGGAAAAGGTTTTATAATTAAAAAAAAACAAACAGCATTCTGAACTCTTACTGGGTACTGATGTCGGTATTTATACAAATCTCTCGCAGCATAAAAACTTCTCTTTGGTTTGGCGGTCCCTTCTGTGGAATCGCCAGCCTAGAATAAAAAATGAAACTCTTGTTTACATGCAGAATTTTTCTGAGAATTTCCAGAACAAGCCTAAAATAATGAATATCCATAAGGAAACCTCAAATAATTGTCATCCTGTCAAGATCAATGGAAATATTATAAAGGTCTTTTCAACAATGTTACACTGCAACAGATGCTGGCATTCTATTTCTCTCATTTGCACCAAAAACTTTGGTCTTCAAGTATGTTAGTGAATAATCAACTTTACTGTTACCAAATGCCTTTCGATATCCATCAAAACTAGAACATAAAATGAATTCAAAAGACATTTTACCAGGTGTTAAACATGGGTCCTTTAGAATACCTTAAAGCTGAGCACTGGTGGCTGACATCTGAAATCCTAGCTACCTGGAACCTGAGATCTCTTTCAGTTCAATGCTAGTCTGGGTAGAAAAGACTTATCTCCAATTAGCCAGCAAAGGCTGGAATGGAGGTGGTAGTAGAGTGCCTTAAGTGAATAAAGCTTAGCGAGAGCACAAGCCCTAAGTTCAAGCCAGAATAGCAGCACACACAGACACACAGAATATTTTATGTGATACTAAACACTGTTTAGATGACAAATTAATTTCTATAAAGGTAGGTGTGATCAAAGTTACATTTAGCTGCACTTGGAATTCAAAGAATATTTATGAAGGAAAAAGAGGATTTTAAAACAAATAGCCAGGCCCCAGTGGCTCACGCCAATACTCCTAGCTACTCAGGAGGCTGCCATCTCAGGATATTGGTTCAAAGGCACCCTGGACAGGAATGTCTGTGAGATTCTTAGCTCAAATTAACTACAGACACACCCATTTAACCCCCCCCCCCCCCCCCCGCCCTGGCACAGCCAGAAATGGATCTGTGGCTTAAGTGGTACAGCACTAGACTTGAGCACAAAAACTCAGGAGCAGTACTTAGGCTTTGAGTTCAAGTCCCAGGACCAAAAAAAAACCAAACAACCTAAATAACTTTCTAAAAGAAAGAATACTCATTTATCCATTCAATGATGATATAAAGTGATATAAATCAACAATTTAAAATACATGGAATCAACATCAGATTGACATAATTTAAATGTGTATATAAAATGTGTATATATTCACATATGTATATATATAGTACATGTTTAAATATATGTATGGCTGGGTACTGATGCTCATGCCTGTAATCCTAGCTACTCTGAGGATCACGGTTCAAAGCCAATCTGGGCAGGAAAGTCCGTGAGACTCTTATCTCCAATTAAGCACCAGGAAACTGAAAGTGGGGCTGTGGCTAAAGCTGTAGAGTGCTTGCCTTGAGCTGAAGAGCTCAGCGACAGCACCCAGGCCCAGAGTTCAAGCACCATGACCACCACCACCAACAACAAATGAAGCTGGGTGCCAGTGGCTCACACTTGTAATCCTAGCTACTCAGTAGGTTGAGATCTGAGGATCACGGTTCAAAGCCAGCCTGGGCAGGAAAGTCCGTGAGACTCTTATCTCCAAAAAACCACCAGAAAACTGGAAATGGCGCTGTGGCTCAAGTGGTAGAGTGCTCGCCTTGAGCTGAAGCACTCAAGGACAGCTCTCAGGCCCTGAGTTCAAGCCCCACAATGACAAAAAACAAAACAACAAATATATTTGTATATGTACATTGATATGTGTGTACATATATGTATTCATATACACACATAAAGCAATAGAAAGTTTTCACATGGAATCAACATCAGATTGACATAATTTAAATGTGATCGTTTACTAGCACTGTTTATATCCTAAGCCAAATTCCCACCACCATGATGTCATTTTTTTGGATACAAAGTCAATATAACTAATAACTGTAGTCTTATCATGCATTATAAAGTGTCTTGTGTCCAGTGCCAAGCAGGACAATGAGACTGGTGAGCATGCTAAGACAACACTATTTAGACTGTGTTATTCATTAAGATATTTGCCCTGAATCTTGTATCATCTTCTACCCTTTATCTGTGTTGACAGACTGGCATCTTTGAAGCAATTTTTACACATTTTGGCAGTGGTATGATTCTCACTCTTACTCCAAGTACAGAGATATTACTTTAGCACCAAATCCTCCAATGCTTAACATTAGTTACTCCGTCATGTTACATAAGCAAGCAAACACTTCAGTTCTGGCCCTTGCCACGCGTTTCAAAATAGCTCTGCCTAGCAAGTCTCTGAATCTATTTAGTGTGAGCTACAACTATATGAATCATCGACCTCCATTTATGTAGAAATGCACTTTCCCATTTACAAAGCACTTACATGTATACTGTTTCACTTGATTCATACAACACATTTATTATTCGTGTTTCCATCTCAGAAACAAGGTAACAGAAGCTTAGAGAAGCTGAACAAGATTGAGAGCCTAATGCCAGCACAATAATTAGCCAGCTTCTGAGCCCAACTAGTTCAGTATGAATCCATTTTAGTCCTGGTAACAGTGACAGATATATAGAAACCTTGGTTTCCATAGGTCAGGATCAATAGTCCAAAACAGATTTAAGACATTAAAATGAATCTAAATTCTGCTAGTTAGTGTTTGTGAGGCCTTATGCAGTACCTGAATTTTGGTTTTCTTGCTGTGAAATGGAGATGTGGACTTCCACCTTTCCCTGTTTCCAGGGAATAACTGTATGTTCTAACCTCCAAACTTAGCAACCTACTACCACCTATCCTTGCTACTTCAACTTATCATTATTATTTTCTTTTAACTCTATCTTGATCTCCTTCATCTGTTCAGGAAAGCATTTTGTTGCTTAAAATACCATTCTTGTTCTATGAGTCACCAGAATTTCCATTTACTGAGCCTTAGCAAACAAATACATAGTGGTAAATTCAGTCTTAAAGTAAGTATATATCTGCCTTGGCCCAAAGTCCACCCCAGTTTTAAATCTGTATCTCTGCTCTTTGTTATAGTAAACTATCACCAAGGAATTGCTCATTCTTCCTCTCTCCCCTTTTCCCATGATCCATCAAAGTAAGGTTCTGGTCAAAGCATTCCAGGCTCATAGGAGGATGAGCAACAAATCTCCATCTCAACAATCACATCTCAATGTTCCTCTCAGGTAACCTCCCAAAAATAAAGGGCCACTTAGGGCCTCTTTGCTGAGACATGGTTACAGTTTGGCTTTCAGAATACCACACTCTTCTGGTTTGCTTCTTGACTCATTGGTGGTTAAGTCTCTATTTCTGGCTCCTCCTCTTCACACCATCTGAACAGAGGAGTGACCAGTACTTAATTCCCATTCATGACCTCTCATGACCGCTTATCTTCCCTGGACATTAAATAAAATGGATCTTAAAGCTGACAATTCCAGTCTTGGATTACACCTCTATTTATAGACATCATCAACTACTCAACAATCCTACTTGGATGGCAAACAGGATTTAATCTCTAAAGCTGCTCCCTACACATCCTCAAGTCAATAAACGGTATCATCACTGGCCTGTTATTCAATGGGATGAGGATCACAGAAGATCGGAAACACACTTTAAATGCAGCTCCAGTAATACTTGCAAATGGATTCTAAGGAGTTCAGAACCAATGAGAATAATAGTGAAAACATAGAATCAGCCGGGCTCCTGCTGCTCATACCTGTAAATTCTAGATATACCAGAGGCTGAGGTCTAAGGATCGTAACTCAAAGCCAACCTGGGCAGAAAAATGAGACTTATCTGCAATTTACCAACAAATAGCCAGAAGCAAAGTTATGGCTCAAGCTACAGAGCACTAGCCAAAGCAAAAAAGATAAGGGACAGTGCCCAGGGCCTGAATTCAAGCCCAAGTACACTTACCTGAGTAAGTGTGTGCATGCATGTGCAGACACACACACACATACAATAAAATCAAAAAGTATATCTGTTTAGAAGTTATATGGTGATACTAACATAAATAGCCATTAAAGAGGAGTGGGAGATAGACACTGTTTACTAAGGTTGTAATTAACTGAAACTGTAATGATAAATGAATAAATGAAACATGAATTGAAACATGTTTGTTGTATGCTGGTGCTTTCTGAGATCACAAACTTGCTTCAAAGATTAGTGAATTAGAAGAACGTAAGGGAAAACACTGAAGATAGCATGTAATACTTTTTTATGGTGAATTTAGCAGTACAACAGTGAGACCATAGCAAAGCAGAGGACAAGAGGCCATAGGAGTTTTCAAGACTCCAACAGGCCCCAGGCTGTGACTTTGGTGACAGACATACTTGATTTGTGAATGGACTTTAGGATCAATAGGATTTCATTAGATTCATTTCTTTCCCTTTAGGACCTGAGCAAGTTTCTTTCTCCAAAGCCTTGGCTTTCTCTAAAATGGAGATTAAAAACAAAAAAAACCTTCACCCTAAACTGCAGTTCATTTTAACAGCATGCTTAGCCAGGGCCTGTAGTGAGACTTTATGGTTCCTGAGCAGAGGGATTATCTCAGCATGCGCTGGAATATGTGGGGGGTTTCCCTAAAACCCGAGGCCACACTGTACGTCGCTCTTCCCCAACTCGAGCCCCCATAACTGATAGAGATGGCCTTATGCAAATGCCCAAATGGGAAATCCTGGGCAGTCTTCAGGGCAGGGCTAGATCGGTCTTCCTTTTTTAAAGTTTCTGGTTATTTTTCAGTCCCTCCGAGAGGCAGGGTGGCCATCTATTTCTGCTAACCTCCCTTCCAAACTGTGTGGGTCAGATGTTTGAATCAACAAGTCTTCCGGATGAAAAGAGACTTTTGAAGAACGAGCTGGCTGGAAGGCCTCACTTGGGTGGGGGTGGGGCTCGTGGCTTGGTAACTTTGGACGGGGCCCGTCTCCCACACTTTTCACGGATGGAGGCTCGCCCTGGGAGAGACCGCGAGCTGCTCGGCAACCGCAGGGCGGGCTTATTCCGAATAGACAGATTTTTGGTTAAACTGCGAACCCCACTCAGGCGAGTTCTTGCAATGCCCTATTTTTAGACCGCTTCCTCCCACCCTTCTTTGCACCCGCCAGCTGCGCTGCAGAGGCAACGCAAACACCTATTCGCGTGGGATTCGGCCTCGAGGGACTTCGTTCGGCGTTCGCCGCCAGGCCCCAGGCCGGCCCCCGCCGGCCCCCGCGGGGTCGGCCCCGCACCCGTCCGGCACCCCGCCCTCCGCACAGCCCCGACCCGCCCGAGGCCCCCGCGGGGTCGCGTACCTGCTCGGCGCCCGCCGGCTCGGCGTCCTGGGCGCGCGCGGGGCTGGCGCGGGGCCGCCCGCCGGCTCGCTCCGGAGACTGTGCGGGCGGCTCCGGCTCGGGCTCCGGGCCCTCGTCGCCGCCTCCACCCGGCCCCGGCTCTTCGGGCTCGGACTCCGGCTCCGAGTCCGTCTGCCAGGTGGAGTCACAGTCCTCCACGGTGGTGGGCTCGCGGAAGCTGACCCCGCCGAGCAGGTTGCCCATTGAAGAGGCTGCGGGGCGCGGGCTGCGGGGCTGCAGCAGGCGCTAGGGCCCGGGCATGGCCGTGCGGCCGGGGCGCAAGGCGACGCCTCCCGCGCCCGCCCGCCCGCCGGGTTGGGGCTCACTCAGCGCCGGGCGCCTCCGCCGGGCACTCTGGCGGGGAGGAGCCCGCCGCCCCGGGACCGCCGCCGCACGCGCGCCCACCCGCCCATCAGGCTCCGTCCCCCCTCCCCGCGCCGAGCCAGGCCCGCCCAAGTCTCCGGGGAGCGCGCCCCGCCCCGCCCCCAGGACGGGCGCCCGCACCCCAGGCACCCCGGGACGCGCCTGGCTGGCAGTGGCCCCGGGCAGACCGGCCTTCGCCTCCACGGGGCCTCTGGGGTCTCCTGGAGACGGTCGGGGTTGGCTACTACCCCGCGCCCCCCTTCGCCCAGGCTCCTCCCAACGATCCCGCCCAGTTCCGAGAGTCCGGGACCATGGTGGGAGGAGCAGCAGGCGGGTCCTGGCCGACACCTTGGGCCCCTCTCCAAGAGGAAGATAAATTAGCTACAGCTACCGAGAGCAGAAGGCAAAAGCTAATGGTGACAGGGCACCATATGAACAGGAAGTCTAAGTCACTACCCCTGGCCTGGGAGCAGCAACCACCATAGAACCCGTGGTCTAGATAAAAATCGAAGCTGTCTCTCACCATCTCTAAAGAGCAAAAGGTTTCTTAAAGCAGAAGAAGCAATATCAGCTAAACCAGGGCATTGATCCTGAATAGTTTACAAGCACTCAACTCCAAATTTGGGTTCTGTGTTTAAAAAGTAAAAATATCAGAAGCCTAGGAGCAGATAATTTGGTTCGAGCAGGTGCTAGTGACTCAAGCCTGTAATCCTAGCTACTCAGGAAGCTGAGATCTGAGCCAGCCAGGCCTGGGGCTTGAACTTGAGGCCTGGGCCCTGTCTTGGAGCTCACTTGCTCAAGGCTAGCACTCCACCACTTTGAACCACAGCGCCACTTCCTGCTCCGACTGGATTCGAACCGCAATACTAAAATCTCAGCCTCCTGAGTAGCCAGGATTACAGGCATGAGCCTGTACTCTGAAATTGTTTTTGTCAGACCCAGACAAAATAGTAGCCAGAGAGTAATGAGTGGGCCTTTAGGGGATATTTTCTCACAAACTTTATAAAAGCTCATAACATTTCTCTTTTTTTTTGTTTTGTTTTTAATATTTTATTTGTGAACATACTGTACAGAGGGGTTACAATTACATGGGCAGGATAATGCGTACATTTCTTACCAAGTATTGCAGCCTCCTCCTTTGTTTACCCTTCACATCCCTTCCCAGCCTCCCCCCTCCCCCCCAGTGCCAATCCTTCCCCCCCTCCCCCCCACTAACGTTGTAAAGCTCATTTTGGACATGACAACTTGTACTTCTCATTGTTGCAACAGGTCCACCTGTATCCTTTTCTTTTTTGGCTTTTTTTTTAAAATTTTATTTTATTTTATTTGAGAACATACTGTGTTTCTAACGCATTTATAAGATTATTTCTTTGTTGCTTTGTATGTCCCTCCCCTACAGTGTAACCCCCGCTTTCACTATATTTGATGTCATAACATTTCTTTTTGTTCTACAGGACCCCGGGGCTTTGCACCGTTTTCTCACTATGCACAGATTTCTAGAACACCATTTATCTTTAACAATAAGACTGCAACAGTCAAAATGGAATGCATGTAACAGAACACTTTCCCAGGAACACTACCTCCACGCGTGAGCTCACCTCTGGTGCTTTCCTCCCATCTCCAAAACCAATGAATTCTGGATCAAACTACCTAATTAAGTTTCTCCCATTTTGCTTTTACAACTTTCCCTTTCCTCAACATTCCTGAATATGCCCATTGTTTACGCTGGTATGCCTATTCCCAATGCAATTCTTTGAAAGAGTATTGCTTCGATTAACAGTGTCTGAATAAAGAAAGCATGGAACTGTTGCAAAATGCATGAATCTAATGAAAGCTTAGGCTGTGATCATCATCTTTCATTGGCAGAGGAGCAGACCACACTGCAAAAATACTTTCAGGCTTGTGATGTAGAAAGTCTAGGGATAGTTGCTGCGCTCCAGGGGCTCTGCTATTTGGTAGCCATGCATTCTTTGTTCTCTTTCCATCAAAATGTGAGTCCAAGTTGGGCACTGGTGGTTCATGCTGGTAATCCTAGCTACTCAGGACATTGAGATCTGAGAACCACAGTTCAAGACTAACCTGGGCGGAAAAGTCTATGAGACTTAGTCTCCAATTAACCAGCAAAAGCCAGAAGTGGAGATGTGGCACAAGTGGTATAGGACCAGCTTTAAAGGAAAAAAAGCCAAATCCAAGTGTGAGGTCCTGAGTTCAAGTTCCAGTACTGATACACATTTAAAATAAAAGAGGTAGAGAGTCTAGAGTTTAATCCTCCATGCTTGAATGGCAGCTATTTTTACAAGATAGTTCCAATGTTAACATGGAAGTCGTATTTTAGGATTTCCAAAATTAAGACATAAGGAAGCTTCCATTTCTTTTAGTATCCCTGAGCTGACATGTATGAAGTTCAAAGACCTTGAAACTGCCATACTGGAAAGGGTACTGGGTATGGACTCTGGTCACCAGCCCAGCTGAGCCTTGCCTTCCTTCTGGTATCCTCTGATGGATTTTAGTGCCTTTTATGGATTGCTCCAGCTAACCCATTTACCAGTTAAGTCAATCTGACCTCCACTGACTCAACACCGAACAAATGAGCCACCCAGCAAAGCCCTACTCAAACTCCTGACCAAAACATAGTGAAGTGTAACAATGACTCTTGTCAATTTTACAGTAGTAATTGTACAGCCCTATATTATACCTTTTGGCAAATGGATCAGTTCACCATTATATTACATGCCATTTTATATATTTTTTATTTTTATTTTTTTGGGTCTGGTTGTGGGTCTGAACTCTGGGCCTGGACGCTGGCCCTCAGCTCTTCAGCTCAAGGCTAGTGCTCTACCACTTGAGCCACAATACCACTTCGGCTTTTTTTTTCTGCTTATGTGGTGCTGAGGAATCGAACCCAGGACCTCGTGCATGCAAGGCAAGCGCTCTACCACTGAGCCACCTTCCCAGCCCCTATATAATATATTTTTAAAGAACATAATTTTATATAAAATATTACAACTTTATATAATATAAATCTTATAAATGCAACATAAACTTTATAGTTATACTATATAAAGCTATAATATAAACATTATGTTATATCATGTTATAATATTTATGGTAGATTGAGAGCAATAAGCTTGCCTGTACAGTGTTCAATTCTTTTTTTTTGGGGGGGGGTAGAGTGCTGGTAGTGAGGCTAGAAACTCGGGGCTTGGTACTCTTACTTTCCTTTTTTATCAAGGCTGGTGTACTACCCCTGGAGCCACACTTCTACTTCTGACTTTGAGCTAGCTAATTGGAGATAACAGACTCAGCTGGCTTCCAACCATGGTCCTCAGATCTCAGCCTCCTGAGTAGCACACATATACAATGCAAAGCTCTGGTGGCTCACACTTATAATCTGAGCTGCTATCTGTGAATCTCTCTTCAAAGCCAACCTGGACAGAAAATTCCATTGAGACTCTTATCTCCAATAAAGCAGCAAAAAGCCAGAAGCAGTGGTGTGGTTCAAGTGGTAAAGTGTCAGCCTTGAGCACAAAAGGAAAGCATGGGCTTGAGGCCCTGAGTTCAAGCCCCAGTATCAGATATACACACAAAAACTAATTTGCTAATTGATTTCTAAGAATTAGTTCACAAGTCAAAGGTCAAGCTTAGATTCATAGCCAATACTGTATATTTTCACAGCTTAAAAATCTTTGTATCAATCATACTAAACTCATTACTAAAGTAATGATAAGAGGTTCTTAGAATTAACACATTAAATTTGCTCATACTATCAGTAGAAGCTGAAATTAATATAAGAAGTTGGTAATAAATTATTATTTTCATAACTAAACAAATAAATTGAACCTGTAAAGCCATACTTAAAAAGTATTAACTTTTGTTCAAAACACAATGTTTGCAGTTTTCATTGTACAATTCAGCAGCATTTAGAAATTTTAAATGTAAAAAACAGTATAAACATTATGAAACAATAATATATGAAATCAAGAAGGAAACACAAAAACAAGTTTGGTTTATTACCTGCAATGTTACAGCTTATTTTTCATGAATGCAAGCAAACATATATCCCATGATTTGTTTTTTCTTTTTCTTTTCTTTCTTTCTTTTTTTTTTTTGGTCCTGTCGTGGGGCTTGAACTCTGGGCCTGAGAGCTGTCCCTCAGCTCCTCAGCTCAAGGATAGTGCTCTACCACTTGAGCCACAACGCCACTTCCAGCTTTGTTCTTTTTGCTTATGTGGTGCTGAGGAATCAAACCCAGGGCCTCAGGCATGCAAGGCAAGGGCTCTACCACTGAGCAAACTTCCCAGCCCCCATGATTTGTTTTTTCAAATCATTAGCATTCACTCTCCCTCCCTCCCTCCCTCCCTCCCTCCCTCCCTCCCTTTCTTCCTTCCTTCCTTCTTTCCTTCCTTCTTCCTTTCTTCCTTCCTTTCTTCTTTCTTTCTTTCTTCCTTCCTTTCTTTCTTTCTTCCTTCCTTCCTTCCTTCCTTCCTTCCTTCCTTCCTTCCTTCCTTCCTTCCTTCCTTCCTTCCTTCCTTTCTTTCTTTCTTCCTTTCTTTCTTTCTTCCTTTCTTAGGGCTTCATGCTCTCATTCAGCTTGTTTGCCCTGCTAGTATACTCTTCTGTTTTAGCCACATCTCTAGCCAGAATTTTGCTGTTCATTATGAAGATGGAGTCTCTCAGATTTTACTGTCCAGGCTGGCTTCAAACCTTGATCCATGAGATCTCATCCTAGAGTATCTAGGATACAGATATAAACCATCAGCACTTGGCATTAATATTATATAATTTTTGGTCCTGGTCCTTGAAAGCACTATGATAACCAAGTAAGAAATTGATTCATAAAACACTACATCCCAGGAGCTTGTGACTCTCTCTTCCACCCTTCTCCACATTTTTACCCTTCTTCTTACCATATGGAAAGACCCTAAAGGAGCAGGTTTCCCCCAGGCAACTCAGAGTACAGACGCTGCTATAAGAACAAAACA